AGTGCTTAGTGGAGAAAGGCTACCTCAGGGACACCCAAGAGTGCCATGTTTAAAGAAAGGAAGCTGAGGTAGTCCTACTACAAGACAAAGGAGGCAAATGGGCAGTCTGATGCATCACTGCAAACATGCCACTTCTATGACCAGCTGCATATGATCTCAGGGGGGACATGACCAGCTTTCCAAACCAGACTGTTGAACTCTCAAGACCTTCAGGGCAACAGCATGGTGGTGGAGGGGGAAGGAAGCAGAGAAGAATGGTCAGCCAGTAATCAGTGAGAGCCAAGTACTCTTTATAATCTTGGAGCCAATCCCCTCCTCCTAGGATGTCTTTTGGGCACTAATGCCAGGGAGGGCACTTGTGGTAAGTTTACTTTTTTTTTTCTTGCTACAGAAGGGCTAAAGCAATTGGATGTGATGTGTGGTGCATTCTGTGTCTACACGGTGTGGAGGTTCCAGAACAGTTTGTTAGCATGTCTGGAGATGGAGCGGAAGTCCTTCCTGCATATCTCCATGAAGCTCTGATAGGAACTTTTTGATCCTTCTCACATTTCTGGGGAGGCTGCCTTATTCCATTCTCCATGGCAAGACATCTTCCCAGCCAAGCCAGTAGAAATTGGTCTGGCATAAGGGTCAGGTTTCTGGCCATATTTAGTCAGCCATATTTAGTCCATATCACGCTGTGATTTTGGAGAAAACTGATAGCATGGCAACCTGGATGAAAGAGGAGGAGAAGCTATTAGCTGCTGCTGCTTCTGCTAGCATGGCTTCAGCCTATGGCACCCTCTCTCTCTCTCTTCCTCCTGCACACATCCCTGCAGGATGGGAAAGTAGCACTTTCCTGGGAAGCAGGAGGTGGTGGCTACAGAGGGAAGCCACATAAGCTGCTGCCCTTGTAGACCCCTTTCTGTACCTGCCTTAAAACTGCGTGAGTCTAGATGTTCCCTTGAGAACTGTGTGTCTCCTGTAAAGCAGCTGCTGTAAAGCATAACCTTGCCCTTGAACAGAACGGCTACGTCTACACTGGCCCCTTCTTCGGAAGAGGCATGCTAATTTAGAACTTTGGAATAGGGAACTCCACAGGGGATATTTAAATATCCCCCGCGGGATTTAAATAAACATGGCTGCCACTTTTTTTCCGGCTTGGGGAAAAGCCGGAAAAAAAGTGGCAGCCATGTTTATTTAAATCCCGCGGGGGATATTTAAATATCCCCCGCGGGATTTAAATAAACATGGCTGCCACTTTTTTTCCGGCTTGGGGAAAAGCCGGAAAAAAAGTGGCAGCCATGTTTATTTAAATCCCGCGGGGGATATTTAAATATCCCCCGCGGGATTTAAATAAACATGGCTGCCACTTTTTTTCCGGCTTGGGGAAAAGCCGGAAAAAAAGTGGCAGCCATGTTTATTTAAATCCCGCGGGGGATATTTAAATATCCCCTGTGGAGTTCCCTATTCCAAAGTTCTAAATTAGCATGCCTCTTCCGAAGAAGGGGCCAGTGTAGACATAGCCAACATGTCTCCGTTGTCTTTAGAGAGATCTTTGCTGTATGCTAACAGATTAGGTTTTAGGCTCCACAATGTATTTCCTGTAACGAGTGCCCTTGTAACTTTTTGGTACAGTGGGAACAGTAGGGAGCTTGTTGCCTATTCCCTGACTCCAGCAGCTGTCCTGATCGCCCAAATCCACAGGTGAAAACTTACAAGGGAAGACTTGTTTAAGGAGCGAATGGAGAGGAGGAATACGCTACTGGAGGGGAGGGAAGGGGAGCGGAGTGGCAGGAGAGAAGAGCATGCAGGGAACCTCAAATGAAGCACCAGGAAAATGTCTTTTTGTGCCTGATAGCTGTGATGGATTTCTCCCCTATACACAGATGCACACATGCCTCATAGAATAACTTTCCCTGATCACCCAGTTATGTAGCCTCCATCACCAGAGGCCCTAGGACACCGGAGTGATAGGGGAGAACTAAAGGGCAGCCTCATACTCAACCTCCAGGGAAGCATCGCAAAAGGATATTGTCCTTGCATTTCTGATTCTCTGCCCCTACTCCCTCCCCGATGGTCCCACCATGGTGGGGCACCCCAATGAGAACAACTTGCATGACTCTCAAAACTGGCCATTCATAAAGCTTTCTTTCAAAGATCTCTCTGATTTGCACTGCCCTGCACTGTGCTGTCTATTGCCCTGGTGTCTGGCTGTTCAAACTTCTGGCTATGTGCTTTGCCTCAGCTCCCCACCTTGCCAGATAGCTTCCCTCCTTGCTCTCAAAAATATTATGGAACACACAGCAAGCTGCCATCACAAAGAATGTGTTTGCTAAGGTCTAACCTAGTTGATAGACTCCTAGACCTTCCCTTTAAAGCTCAAAAGCACATTCCACCACCATTCTGCACTTGCTTACTGCTGTTCAGGCTGAGCTTATACAGCTTCATCAACCATGTGAGCAAGTGGTAGGCTGGGTCACCAAGGATCATTGTTGGCTTTTCCACCTCTCCATTTCTAATTTTCCAGTCTTGGAAAGAAGTTCCCGTTTGCAGCTTTCTGAAGAGATGCAAGTTCCTAAAGATGGGCAATGCACACGTCTTGCACCTTTCCTGACCATCCCATGTTGATGTCAGTGAAACAGGCCTTGTGTTCCAGCAGTGCTTGCAGCACCATCAAGAAGTGCTCCTTGCAGTTTATGTACTTCTTGGCAAGGTGGTCAAGTGTGAAGATGGGGATATGTGTTCAGTCTATTTCCCTACTGCAGTTAGGGAACTCCATCACAGCAGGGGGAAGCTATCTGCATGGGGGTGGGCAGGTGAGATGGGGTGGGAAATTTGTTTGGGTATCCTGACTCCCATCTGGGCTGCAGCAAGCAGGGGCGGATATAGGGCAGGGTGAGCGGGGTGGCCGCCCCAGGCCCTGCGCTTCAAGGAGCCCCGCGCATGTGCCGTGTCAAAGGGGGGAGGGTGCTGCAAAATTGTGCTGCCCTGGGCCCCGCAAAATCGTCATCTGCCCCTGGCAGCAAGAGTCTGACTATGTCTAAGCACAGCAGTTTCTGGTGCAGGGGAGAGACGTGGGATTCTCTCCAGGGTGGGAGGGGAAAGGGAAGCAAGCTGCATGGGGGAGGGGTACCAAAATTTCAGGTGGATTAAGCTGGAGTATGGGGTAACATGGGGTGCTGCTAGGGAACCTCCCTTGTCTCATTAATGCAACAGAGAGAGCTTAGTTGAAGTACATCTTCCCTCTTCTGTTGAGGCTGGAGTGAGGAAGAGTTGTTATTAATTACCAATTGATTGTAATTATATGCCAGGAAAAAATATGATGGGGAGGAGGTTCAAAGAATAATGTTGTACCATGTTATTTTCCACTATTAAACTGATGAAGCAAACACAAATCTGGTGAAACTTCTACAGTTCCAAACCAAAATATTTTTCATTTTTCACTTAGTATCGGGGGGGAAAGATAACTTGATTTTAGCCACAATGAGTTTAACAAGTCCATCTTTCTAATATCTCTGGCCATCTGCCTGGAGATGTTAGAAAGCTTGGGCTAAAATGTAGTTTGTCTGGAGGGAGACCAATCCAGAGAAAAGAAGTAAGGAGGGTCGAGAGAGTCTCTATTGGCAGATCTTAATGCAGGATCTGACTTCAGTTGTTTTGATGTTTTTCTATGGTAAAACATTTGGGCTGCTTTTGTAGATAAAGGATTCAGGCTTTAGTGAATGAATCTGGAACCAAAGACCTACCTCGTGCATTTGCATGATTTCAAACAAAGTTTGCATAGTTGTTAATGGCTGAAAGTAAGAGAGAAGGAGCTTCTTTGACAGAATTATTATTTTTTTTTTGGAGGGTTGTAGATATCTGGTGCATGTTTTTATGCTTAATGGCCATGTCTTTGATTTATTTATATAGCTGTTTTCAGTATGTCTCATTTTGGTGTGTTTACTAGCTTGACTTGTTAGAATGATAATATATATGCACTCCAAGGGTAGTGTGAATTTTTTTTATTTGAATTTTTTTAAAATAAACATATTAAGCATTGCTCCTTGTTCACTATCTCTTGTTTTAATATTTCTTTCATATCTATAAATTGTTTAAAATATACATTTATATCTAGGTTTTTGTTTGTACAGGTGGTGCACATCCACACACTACCTCAATTTCAGTGTTGCACGTAAGAAATTTCAACCCACCCAAGGATGGAAAATGTTAGAGGGAAAATGTTAGACCTAAGCCATGCATATTGGGCGGATGCTCTAGTGATAGCCTCCACTCTTAAATAATGTAGTCTGTGTAAACAAAAGATCAGATAAGTTGTGCTGCATGGATATTGCAGTTGTGTGCACAACACAACCTTGTTGCTGTAACTGGCTGGCCTGTGGAAAACTGGCTTCACTGACATCCACGTTGCCCAAACTCAAAACAGTGTGACTGCTAGAGTTGACTAAAGGAGCAAATTACTGAAGTGGCTGAAGCTCCCCAAGCAGTGGGGTTCAAGACCTATCCAAATATTTGTAGATTTTTGATGGCCCAAGCATCTAGGGATAATTGGGTCTGTAGGGTAACAACTTACCATCCTGTTATAGCACTGTACATTGCCTTGCAGTGTTGAGGGATTGTAAAGAATTTGTCCAATCTTGCTGAGTTAAGAGGGTAGGAATAGAGATGGTTTGAGCTTGCATAGCAGGACTTGGCTTGATTTTTTTTCAGCGGCGTTGAGTGCCTATAACAAGGAGTAAGAGGTGTTTATCCTATCCCAAAATCAACATCCAAGCATCTTGGTTGGGAACACTTGCGTTCTTGGCTCTACTCAGATGTTCAGTCTGCTGGCCTCTGCTGCCATTCCAGTTTGTCTCTAAATACCTTTTGTCTAACATAGTTCAAACTAAGAGCTGAAATTAGAATTTTTTGGGTAAAAGCTTGTAGTGTAAACCATGTACATTTATAATCAGATTTTTAATACTCAGTTGTCTTATTCTGTCCTTAGAGCTCAAGCCATCGCAATAGGACAAGCACTAGTAGATGGACGCTGGCTGGATTGTGTCAGTCACCATGATCAGATCTTTAGAGATGAATATGCTCTGTATAGACCATTACAGGTACAGAAACCTCTTTTCTTACTGCTGTTGGAATAGTGACTCAGTGGTGGCTGGGGAACTGCTGTCAATCTCTTCTTCCTAGAACCAGCTTGAGTCAAGACAATTCTCATGAATCATAGAATCCTAGGGCGGGAAGAGACCTCAGGAGGTCATTGAAGCAGGACCAACCCCAACTAAATCATCCCTGCCAGGGATTTGTCAAGCTGAGACTTAAAAGCCTGTAGGGATGGAGATTCTACCACCTCCCTAGGTAACCCATTTCAGAACTTTACCACCCTCCTAGTGAAATGGCTATTAGGAAAACTAACCTAGACTTCCCCTACTATACGATAGGGTCCACTATCTTTGCCCTCCAATGTATCTACTTCTCCCCCTATCTTAGTGTTATCTGTAAACTTGCAGAGGGTGCAATCCATCCCCTCATCCAGGTCATTAATCAAGATGTTGAATAAAATCGGCCCTACAGCTGATCCTTGGGGTACTCCAATTGAAACTGACTGCCAACCTGACATTGACCCATTGATCACTACCCATTGGGCCTGACAATCTAGCCAGCTTTCTGTTGACCTTACAGTCGATAATGGAAGTCCAATCCATACTTCCATAACTTGCTGGCAAGAATATTGTGGGAGACGGTATAAAAAGCTTTTGCTTAAGTCAAGGTACATCACATCCACTGACTTCCCCATGTCAACAGAGCCCGTTACCTCATCATTGAAGCTAATCAGATTGGTCAGACATAACTTTCCCTAGGTGAATCCATGTTGACTGTTCCTGATCACTTTCCCTTCTTCCAAGTACTTCAAAATGATTGCTTGAGGACCCCTTCCATGATTCTTCTGGGAACTGAGATAAGGCTGAGTGGTCTCTTGTTCCCTGGATTGTCCTCCTTCCCTCTTTGAAAGATGGGCACTACATTTGCCTTTTTCCAATCATCCGGGATCTCTCCCGATCTCCGGGAATTTTCAAAGCTAATGGCCAAAGGCTCTGAAATGACATTTTCTCACTCCCTCAGTATCCTTGGATGCATTAAATCCGGGCCCAAGGATTTGTATATGTTTAGCTTTTCTAAATAGTTCTTAACCTGTTTTCTCCACCAAGTGCTGCCCACTTCCTTCCAATACTGTGTTGCCTAGTGCAGTAGTACGGGAGCTGACCTTGGCTGTGAAGACAGGCAAAAAAGCATTGAATACTTCAGCTTTTCCCTCATCTGTCACTAGTGCTGCCCACTTCCTTCCAATACTGTGTTGCCTAGTGCAGTAGTACGGGAGCTGACCTTGGCTGTGAAGACAGGCAAAAAAGCATTGAATACTTCAGCTTTTCCCTCATCTGTCACTAGGTTACCTCCCTCATCCAGTAAGGGCCCCACACTCTGTCTGATCACCTTCTTATTGCTAACATGACTGTAGAAACCTTTCTTGTTACCCTTCACATTCCTTGCTAGCTGCAAATCCAGTGTGCTTTCTCCTTCCTGATTACTCCCCTGAATTCTCGAGGAATATATTTATACTCTTCCTTAGTCATCTGTCCAAGTTTCCATTTTTTATAAGCTTCCTTTTTGTTTTTAAGGTCACCAAGGGTTTCCTTGGTAAGCCAATCTGGTTGCCTACGATACTTGCTTTTCTTACTGCACATCAGGATGTTTTTTCTGTGCCTTTAATAAGGCTTCTTTAAAATACAGCCAGCTCTCCTAGGCTCTTTTCTCCTTCATGTTAGCATCCCAGGGGATTCTGCCCATCAGGTCTCTGAGGGAGTCGAAGTCTGCTTTTCTGAAGTCCAGGGTATGTATTTTGCTACTCTCCTTTCTTCCTTTTGTCCTGATTCTGAAATGTACCATCTCATGATCTCTGCTTCCCAGGTAGCCACCCACATCTACTTCCCCTACTAGTTCCTTCCTGTTTATGAGCACCAGGTCAAGCTGTGCATGGCCCCTGGTCGGTTCCTTGAGTACTTGTACCAGAAAGCTGTCCCCAACATTCTCCAAAGCACCTTCCTATGTGGCCTCTGAATAGCATAGCCAGTATTCAGAACAGTTGTCCTGAAGTGTCTCCTTATGATCCATTTATTTGGAAAGGGTTGTTGTCAAAGATGTCATTGTTCAGAGTAGGGATGTAAAAATGCATAAGTAATCGTGTACACCCAGGAGGGGCAGTTGGCTCCCCACATTTACTGGCTCCTGCTTTTCCCCTGTGCTGCTGCCTCTTAGAGACAGCAGGGTGAGGGAACAGGTGGCACCTCAGGAGCCAGTGCGCATGGGGAGCTGGCTTCTTGCTTGTACTGGGAGGCTGCTTGCATTAGTGAATGTTAACCGGTGAGCCTGGATTTATTGGTTAACTGTGTACAGTTATGCTTTCACATCTCTAATTCGGGGACAAGGTCTTTATAAAGATTTTAAAAATACTGTCATTTCAACAAAGATAAGTACTGGGAATCTAATTATTTAATTCCTGGTCAAAAGAAGTAAAAATTTAGGAGGAGATCAATTTACTTATTGCTGCCAGTAAAGTAACTGGAGATTTTGCATAAAGAATGTCTCCACCCTGGGGTATAAATGATTTCTCTCTAATTTCTGAGCCTAAACTGTAGTTTAGAGAGAGAAAGTCAGGGCCCCAATAAAAGAGAGGTTTGTCAGTGACCAAAGACTCTGTCTGGCTTGGTATGATCCGGCTTGAAATATGCTGAGAGGTAAGAGCTGCCAGTGCCATTAGAATTTTGCCTTAATTCATGCAGTGACTTTTAACATTTAAGAAACAAAGCTTTCGTTATAGTTGGTCCTAAATAGCTTCAGTTCATAGAATCATAAAACCATAGAGCTGGAAGAGACCTCAGAAGGTCATCAAGTCCAGCCCACTACTCTAGGCAGGACCAATCCCAACTAAATAAGTCTCGGCTTGACAAAGCCCTGGCCGGGTTGAAACACCTCTAGGGATGGGGACTCCACTACTTCCCTAGGTAACCCATTCCAGTGCTTCCCCAGTGAAATAGTTTTTTCCTAATATCCAACCCGGACCTCTCCCATCACAACTTGAGACCATTGCTCCTTGTTCTGCCATCTGTCACTACTGAGAACAGCCTTTTTCCATCCTCTTTGGAACCTCCCTTCAGGAAGTTGAAGGCTGCTATCAAATCCCCCTCACTCTTCGCTTCTGTAGACTAAACAGCCCCAACTCCCTCAGCCTCTCCTCGTAGGTCGTATGCTTCAGCCCCCTAATCTTTTTAGTCGCCCTCCGCTGGATCCTCTCCAGTGTGTCCACATCCTTTTTGTAGTGGGGGGCCCAGAAATGGACACAGTACTCCAGATGTGGCCTCACCAGAGCCGAATAAAGGGGAATAATCACTTCTCTGGATCCACTGGGAATGCTCCTCTTAATGCAACCTAATATGCCATTAGTCTTCGTGGCTACCAGGGCACACTGTTGACTCATATCCAGCTTCTCATCCACTGTAATCTCCAGGTCCTTTTCTGCAGAACTGCTACTTAGCCATTTAGTCCCCAGCTTGTAACAATGCTTGAGATTTTTCCGTCCCAAGTGCAGGACTCTACACTTGTCCTTGTTGAACTTCATCAGATTTCTTCTGGCCCAGTCCTCAAATTTGTCTAAGTCACTCTGGATCCTATCTCTGCCCTCAAGCGTATCTACCTCTCCCCCTAGCTTTAAAGTGTCATCTGCAAACTTGCTGAGGGTGCAATCCATCCCCTCATCCAGGTCATTAATAAAGATATTGAACAAAACCGGTCCTAGAACCGAACCTTGAGGCACTCCTCTAGAAACCGACTGCCAAGCTGATACCAAGCCGTTGATCATTACCTGCTGGGCCCAGCCTTCTAGCCATCCTTCTATCCATCTTACCGTCCATTTATCAAGTCTTTTCTATCTATCTTACCATCCATTTATCCAGTTCATGATTAACTTGTGATTTACAGGACATGCTCTCGTGTGATCTCTGATTCTGTAGCATGTACAGTCAGCAAGACGTTATTTCTGTATGAATTGGGAGTAAATTCACTAAAGTGTAGTTCAACTGAATTTGTAGTTGCAGCAAGTGCATTAGTTGTAAAGGAGGGAATTCTACGTATAACTGCAATTCCTTTGGAGACTGGATGTTGTGGGGATAATTTGGAGTTGCTGTGTGCAGTCTAGGATTCCTTGCTATACTATTCCAAGGCCTTGCTTCACAATAGCTTTTCTTGATTCAGGGCCTATCTATACTAGGGATGTAATAGTATAGTTTATTAACTGATAAGCAAAAGCTTATTGATTAATGATGTTGACTCCATGCTGCCTCCCCAGTAAATTTTTTAGAAGGCTGGCTCACAACCCGGCTCAGACCTGGCTTGCTGTGAGTCTGGGAGCTAACCCCGCTGAAGCTCTGCATTACGAGTGTTTTAGGAGCCAGACGGGCAGGCAGCGCTGCTCAATTCCAGCTTGTGCCAGGTACATGCACTAATCTTTCTGTGGCTCTGCATTGCAAATATTTTAGTCGGGTGTCAGCTGGGACTGAGCTGAGCTGCGTGCATGCGTGCCTACCTTCCCAGCTCCTAAAATACTTTTAATGCAGAGCTGCAGCGGGGGTAGCCCACCGACCTGGCGCGAGCTGGGAATGAGTGCTTGTAGTGATAACCCTTATTGATTAATTGTGGAGTCTTACATGAGAACGGCCATACTGGGTCAGACCAAAGGTCCATCTAGCCCAGTATCCTGTCTGCTGACAGTGACCAGCACCAGGTGCCCCAGAGAGGGTGGACCGAAGACAATGATCAAGTGATTTGTCTCCTGCCATCCCTCTCCAGCCTCTGACAGACAGAGGCCAAGGACACCATTTCATCCCCTGGCTAATAGCCTTTTATGGACCTAACCTCCATGAAATTATCTAGCTTCTCTTTAAAATCTATTATAGTCCTAGCCTTTACAGCCTCCTCTGGCAAGGAGTTCCACAGGTTGACTACACGCTGTGTGAAGAAGAACTTTCTTTTATTAGTTTTAAATCTGCTACCCATTAATTTCATTTGGTGTCCTCTAGTTCTTCTATTTAGAGAACTAATAAATAACTTTTCTTTATCTGCCCTCTCCACACCACTCATGATTTTATATACCTCTATCATATCCCCCCTCGGTCTCCTCTTTTCTAAACTGAAAAGTCCCAGTCGCTTTAACCTCTCCTCATATGGGACCCGTTCCAAACCCCTAATCATTTTAGTTTAGTTACACACTTCTTAACATCTCTGATCCCTAGTATACTAGGGAAGAAAGTTGACCGAAGATATGCAACTCTGGCTATGAGAATAGGTTGAATATCTTAGGTCAGATTTCCGTGGCATCCCCACTGTGATTGGATGATAGGAGAAACTCTACCCATTGACTTCCCTTGCTCTTGCGATCCAGAGGAGTACCAGCGGTAACGGGGGTACGATCAGTAGTTGATTTAGTGGGGTTTTACTAGACCTGCTAAATCGAAACATGATAGATTGATGTCCAGAACAAGTGGAAACAAGCCCTTAGAAGCCTGATTCTGGATTTCAACTGAATTTGTCAGCTTCACTTGATTTGGTCAGTCATAGAACTGCTCAAGGGACTAAAACTATATGCATGTGTCTCAGATTAGCATGGTCACCTTATGGGGGCTAAGGATAGTTTGGTAGACCCCCCCATGCAAGTACTCAAATCTATGCAGGCATTTGACATGTTGTGGGGGTGGATAGGAAGCTTTCAAGTCTTCCATTTACCTCACTCAAATATGATTGACTTGTGAGAGTGGGGTGGGAAGGCTGGGGAAAGAAGCCAAGACTAATGTGGGCAGAGTAAAGTGGTATGTTCTCTTCAAAACTGTTGCTGTCCCACTTAAACTTCTCAGATGTGATTCTGTGGTATCTCAGTGTATACATACATTTACTTTTGTGAAAGGCTTTGTAGTGTGTTAGGCTGCAAAGCATGAAATGTGAACTGTATCTGTTTTGATTTAGGCATGTTAACTAATAAATTAATCGCTAGTTGAGTAGTTGATGGAATTTACACTGACTACCCAGCTAGTCGATAAGCACTTCTGCGTTCTGCCTTTGAAATGTACAAGAGCTCTTCTGCATTTCAAAGTTGGTATGCCACGTGGAGCTCAGGGCCAGTGGGAATTCTCACTTACTCCAGGCTCCACTTCTGTTTTGAAATCCACAAGAGCCCCAGCAAGGGGGGGGAGTGACTAGTTGATAAGCATGTCTGATAAGCTTATCGACTATCTGATCAGCATAGTGACTGTCCGATAAGTCAACTAGCCACATTGTTCAAGCCAACTAGACACACTCAACTGTCTATATAGCCACATGTGGCTAATGTCTAGATTATTGGACACCACTCATGCATAGTTGTACCTCTGCAAAGCATCTTAACGTCCCCATAGGGCTGAAAAATAAATTTACTTTCTCTTTTCCTGATCTCCTAGAGCACTGAGTTCTCTGAAACTCCCTCTCCAGACAGTGATTCGGTGAATTCCGTAGAGGGACACTCTGAGCCATCCTGGTTCAAAGACATCAAGTTTGATGACAGTGACACAGAACAGATTGCTGACGAAGGGGAAGATAATTTGGCCAGTGAGTTTTAACTGATTCTTTTCTATCTTCACATGAAAAATTGGTATAAATGTGTGTGCGGTGGTGTTGTAATGGAAGTAAAAGTCCTGCTCTGCTTGTAGTAGCTGTAAAGTTCCATGTAAAGTGAAACCTCACTAGTCCTCCTGTTTTTTGTTTTGTTTTGTTTTGCAGTGGATACAGTATTTTCTAATCAGTTTGCAAGATTTGATTGTTTCTAAATTAGTATAAACTCTCTGGATTATAATAGCGCAGACAGTCTAGATCGGGATATCTAGACAGAGGCTGTCCTAAAGTTCACTTGTGTTTTAAAATAAATCTATAGAACTTCCATCCAACACTTAATCTTATCTTGAAGTATACATATTTAAGACTGAAATATTGTATTTCTTTAGTATTGCGCACTGGGTTTTATATATTAAAGACAAATTTTCTCCTTTCCAATACCCTCATGATACCCATTTGAATCCCTTTCCTTCCTGTATCTTCCCCCTTACCCAACATTAAAAGATTCCGCCAGCCCTAGCAAGCGTACATCAGTCAGCAGCTTCCAGTCCGCAATGGACAGTGACTCAGCCGCTTCCATCAGCCTGAACGTGGAGATGGACAACGTGAACTTCCATATCAAGAAGCACTCCAAGTACCCACATGTACCCCCTCACCCTGCTGACCAAAAAGGTATGAGGTAGTCACCAACTAGAGATGCACATGATGGAGAGTGGTATCCTACTACTGATTTGTTTTAGACACTACTATCTGTAGTTGTCTTGTTGGTGGATGTGTTTCTAAACTATCTCTTTAGTTAGCCCCCTGTGCATTTCCTTCTGATGCTATTACCTTTGCAAGGGTGTTCAGAATAAACCAACTATGCCATCTTCTCTGAAGAGTGTGCAGCTTCTTGTCTGGATTTTCTCTTTGCAGTGGCAGTTCCTGGTATATTGTCTTGGTCAGCTGACTGGGACATCATCATAAATATGTACGCACACATTCCAGGAAGATTCTCATGTATCCAATTTGAGAAGTGATTATATAAGAAACCCTAAACCAGTGACAATCTGATCTTAGTGTAACAAGAAAAACTTAAAAACAACAAATAGTCTGGTAGCATCTTAAAGACTAACAAAACATGTAGCTGGAATCATGAGCTTTCGTGGGCACAGCCCACATCTTCAGATGACTTTAGTTTAGTGTAACAAAACTGATTCTTTTTTTAATCTCCATTAGTCATGGAGAAAATTGTTGAACAAGTATTATGCATTGATTACAAATATAATTGTCAGATTATTGAGTAACTTTAAAATTTCTTCTATAAATTAATGGTAAATTGGAATGTGAAAGGGCAAATGAAGCCTATTTGAAAAGATCATCTTTTCTCCCATTCGGTTATATTATATTGTATATAGTACACTGACTGACTGAAACAAAGACTAATTGGTATAAATGATAACGGTGCTCCTTTCAATGCTGAGGTAGCTCTCTTGTTATTTCTAGTCTCCCCACTGTTGCCTGAAGCTTCAAGTGCCTGCAAGAGACCTTAAAATACCCTGACATTAAGGACTCTTGCTTAAACTCCAAGGTGACAGATTCTCTGACCTTAAGTGGTATGATGCCAGCATCCAAATGCAAAAACCCCTTGAAAGCCCAGGCAGATGCATTTGAGAATTTCTTCTTGTGGGGGAACCACAAGGAGGGAGGTGTTTAAGTCTCGGCTTGACAAAGCCCTGCCCGGGTTGATTTAGTTGGGATTGGTCCTGCCTAGAGCAGGGGACTGGACTTGATGACCTTCTGAGGTCTCTTCCAGCTCTATGGAAATAGCTTGTGCCCTTGAAATTCTCTCTCTCTGAGATTAGTCACAATTGTTGTTTGTTTTTTTTAGTTACAAACTAACACGGCTACACCTTTCAGACGTTTGATTTCTTTTGGACTATCTGTAACCAGGCTCATCATCCTGCAAGCCTTTTTAGGTCTCCCTGCAGGCAAGCTGCAGCCTGCTTCTTTGGGCGGGGAAATCACAAGTATAAATGAGCAACCATAGTCTTTAACAATTCTGTAGTCCCGTGTGTTAGTTTAGGGGAGGGAGTTCCAGGAACACCACATCTGGCTTATCTTCAATAGAGTTCTGAAGTCTGACTAAAGCAGACTTAGCATGTTATTCTGCAACACAACAGAGTCTATTTCTACAGTTCTCTGACTGGCAGAGACCCTGAGTTTTTCCTTCCTCTTCAGCATGGGGCATGGTCACTTGCAGATTTAAGCTGGTGTAGATGGCAGATTTCCTGTAATTTGAAGTCTTCAAACCAGGAGTCTCAAGCTCACAGAAATGGGAGTCCAGGGGAAGAGAAGGAGGGCCTGTACCTCTGCCCCACTTGGCACCTGTCCCCAAGGGACACAGCTTCAGAGAATACTCAGAGGCCTGGTGTAGGATAGCAGAAGCAGCTCGGCCTCCCTGGGCTCCCTTACGAGTCTGTTTTCCCACTTCCAACCGATGCGGTCACCTTGCACCAGGTGTTCCCTGGTAATACTTGGGCCCACATCCATGGGAGACAGGGTGCCATGGAGGGGAGAGGATTGGATGATGGCAGGAGACTAGAATGGACAGACCCCAACCCTTCCTGCAGGACTCCCAGGCCAGATTGTGCAGCTGCTCTGGCGGGGGATGGCCCTTGAGTCATGAGCTTTGAGACCCCTGCTTAAATCAGGATTTGAGGACTTCAATAATTTGGTGAGAAGTAATAACGATACAGGTTATTCTTGATGGCCTTAACTACTCTACATAGTGAATGATATGGCTTATCTTTGATTCCAGTTGTGTGTGCTTGCTCTCAGATATCGAGTTTTATACATTGAATAAAGCATAATAGACAACATTTTTAGCTTAAATGCTTTAAATTAGGAAACCAAGTAATAAGCTATGTTCATAATTGTCAGTGAAGTCAACTGAAATCATGACAGTCTTTCAACAGAATAAAAAAAGTGCCACAAGACATCTTTTTATTGTGTGTCATAATATCAGGCAAATCTAGGCTATTAACATAAGGCATTCAGCATTTGAAGTACCTATCTATTTTCCTTTCCTTCTGGTAGGTACCTGCTTTAGATACTAGAATTCAAGGTTAAACACACACACACACTATTTTTTACCTTTCCCAATACCGAAGGGGCTTGCTTTAGTTTTTGGTTGTACACACTTTGGTGGAAGCTTCCAGTATTCTCTAACCAACTCACAATTTTTGAGAGAAATCCATACATGAACAGGTAAAAAAATAAGCCTATCCTAATTCACCCCAAAGGAAACTTTTCTGTTGTATTTAAATCAAAAACTGAGGGATACACTCATTAGAAACATCCCTTCTATAAGAGACTCTTATTATGCTAGTAAATTACAAGAGCTATGGACAGGCTCCATGATCAAAGACTGTTAGATGCCCATGTGATGGATGAGAGGGGTACTGCCTTTTTCTAGACATCCCAGCCATTCAGTTAACTCTTTATAGACAATTTAGTTTAAAACCGGAGACTGTGGGTGTCCAGGAAGTGTTGGCAGGCAGCCAGGAGAAAAAAGCCTGCCTGCATCAGGCTTTTGTGAGTTCAGAGCAAGAGCCGGGAGAGAGAAAACGTAAACCAGGAACCAGACATGGAATTTTCAGCAATTGCTGAAAATGGCTGAATCTTGAAACCATGAATATGTAGACTTGATCAGGCTATTTTCTAATTTGGGATCTCCTCTGTGCTAAGTCCCCTATCCCACTCCATACATTAACTTTTAAACTAAATCCGAGAGAAGCAATTGCCTGTGCTTTTTATTCTGCCTTTTTGCAATTGCTCTGTAATACCTTGCAACTAAGTATGCTTTACCAAATTGTGACAGGGTGTACCAATCCTGCACTGGCCTGGGAGGGGTTAATCAGGCCTTCTTTGCTGAGAGGTCCCCTCCCCAATGCCCTGCTGGGTGTGTTCCAACTCCAGGCCCAATATAAAAGCCAAGGGAGCAGCTCAGTCAGATCACAGAAGGGAAAGGAACTGGTACCAGAGCCCAGGAGCAGCTGCAGCACCAGCTGAAATAGTCGCAGCAGGCAGAAACAAGGGTGGAAGGCCACCAACAAAGACCAACCAGAGGGAGTGACTAGCCTGGAGAATGCAGGTGGAGAAGATGCCAGCCATCTGATAGGGTAGGATGTAGGCAAGGGTGGAGAACTGGAAGGGCCCTATGAGCTTAGTGTTTTTCAGGCAGATTTCCCACTGAGCTAGCATGCCCACCACTAGACAGGGCCCTATTTCTTCAGATGACAGATATGGAGCAAGAGACACAGAAGTTGAATAATAAAGCAGAAAAAGAAGCGATGGAAAACTGACAAATTATCGTGCTAAATGAAGCTAATAGAGTAGGTTGTAAGTGCCAGTGCTTAGCTTTTTATGTCACTTGGATGTTGAATATAAGTCCATCCAGTTCATGTCTTTGTTCAAGCCGTAAGAGAAGATATCAAATTTGCATATGCAGGCCAGTTCTGTGGACTCTCTCTAATTACTTTGTAAGAGAATAGCCACCTTTTCTAATATCTGATTTGTGTCCAGTAATCCATAGTTGTGCCACTGACTTATAGATATAAATTGTCCCTAAATTGGAAATAGTTGTTGGTGAGAACAAAATCACAGAGCTTAGTCACTAGGGCTACGTCTACACTGGCACCCTTTTCCAGAAATGCTTAAAACGGAACAGTTTTCTGTTATAAGTATTTCCGGAAAAAGCGCATCTGCATTGGCAGGATGCTTTTCCGGAAAAGCGTCCGTGGCCAATGTAGACGTGCTTTTCCGGAAAAAAGCCCCGATCATCATTTTCGCGATTGGGGCTTTTTTGCGGAAAAGACTACTGTGCTGTCTACACTGGCTCTTTTCCGGAACAGTTTTTCCGGAAAAGGACTTTTGCCCAAACGGGAGCAGCATAGTTTTTCCGGAAAAACACTGACAATTTTACAGTAGATCGTCATTGCTTTTCCGGAAAAGCAAGCGGCCAGTGTAGACAGATATTTAAATCCCAGGCTTCATTTGCAAGTTTGAATGACTACATTGTGTGCAGTGGTGACATCAGAGGTAGTGTTCTTGACAGCTAGTAATCCATCATCGTGTGGAATGCTGGTGTAAAGAGCTGTATCCATAGTGGCCAGATGGTGTTTTTAGGAAGATTACTGATGTTCTGTAGTTTCCTCAGGAAGTCGTTGGTGTCTAGTAGCTAGGAGTGCTGGTAGCATAGGGTTTTCAAGTCAGCAGCACAGCTATGGGCACCTGCATGGCCCCACAATATCGACGACAACGACGGGCTCAATGCCTATATGTCTCCAGCTTTCATCCAGAACACATTACCTTATCAATTGTTTATAGCCAGGCCCTAAGATACAACTGGAGTTTGCTCTAATCCCATAGACAGACACAAACGCCTACAGAATTTTTATCGGGCATTCTTAAATACCATCTGGGGAAGTGAAAAAACAGATTGACAGAGACGGACGAGTACTCAGGCATCTGCTTTTTCAAGATAGGCCCAATAAACAAAATAACAGAACATCACTAATCATTACCTACATCCCCCAACTTAAACCCCTCAAGTGCATTATTAACAATCTACAACCTATCCTGGAAAACAATCCCTCACTCTTACAGGCCTTGGGGGACAGGCCAATCCT